AAAGTTTCCAAAGAAGGAGCCTCCACCACACTCCGGGGCAGAGAGTTCCACTGCTGAACGGCTCTCACAGTCAGGAAGTTCTTCCTCATGTTCAGATGGAATCTCCTCTCTTGTAGTTTGAAGCCATTGTTTTGCATCCTAGTCTCCAGGGCAGCAGAAAACAAGCTTGCTTCCTCTCACATTTTTATACATGGCTATCATGTATAAATCTCCATCTCCATGGCCTAAGTGCACATCTTTCCCAATTCTCCATCAGTTCCTCATCAATGCCCAATTCTTCAGCAATGCCTTCAAGAGCAGCTCTAAATATCTCTAGGCTGGGCAGATAGGCCAGTTCAGGACATGATGTGGGAGGCAGGGAGTCTCTGAGAGTCGGTCAAAATTGGGTGCTCAATATGGGTTTCCATGACTGCATGTTCTCACCTGCTTAAGCAGAAGACCTCACGCCTTCACAATTCAACATGGAGCCCTACACTTCAGACTATGCACCACCATTTTTCTTCCTATGAAGGAACTGTTCATATTTAATTCGGTGTTATGCCAGCGTTCATTCTCTCATTCAGCTCAGCAGGATGGCAAGCATGGCATATTGATTGAGAGCAAGAAATCTCTTTCCACAAGCTCCATTTGGGAGCCACAAAACAATCTCTTCTCTGACTAGAATCCCACACCAGCTGCTTTGGGCTCGGTTCCTTGGATGCAGTAAATTATCCCTCGCCCATTTATCAGAAGGGTGAGCAATCTGGCTGAAAAACTTTAGCAAACTTGGAGGAAACTTTGAGCAACCCCCACGGATTCAGTGCCCATTATCCTAGCTGCATGTTACTTATCTGCTGTCAACGAAATGCCATTTGCCTCCACCTCTTTTCTCCATGAACCTAGAGCTTGGTAAGGCCTTTTGAGTCTCTCTGTAGTAATTTCTGTTTTAGAATTACTGGGTATTAACAGTCATATTATATAGCTCAGGGCAGTTTGTGCTCCGATTATAGAAATAGGAATGGTACTATACATTATCATGTTGAAATAGTACAGTTTGACACCACTTTCACTGCAACATCTCAGTACTATGAAATCCTGGGATTTACTTACTTAGGCGATCCCTCATTTTCCGAGGAGGATTGTATTCCAGTATTCTTGTGGGTCAGTATGTGGCTGTGGAGCCTATTCTTGCTCTGCATCTTCTTCCACAGTGAGGGCATTGGTTTCCAGATGGGAGGTGGTCTCGGTCGGGGTTGGCTTGATGCACCTTCCTCTTGGAACGTTTCTCTCTTTCACCCTCCATTCCTGCCTCTTCAAATTCTGCAGCACTGCTGGTCACAGCTGACCTCCAGCTGGAACGGTCAAGGGCCAGGGCTTCCCAGTTCTCAGTGTCGATGCCAGAGTTTTTAAGGTTGGCTTTGAGCCTGTCTTTAAATCTCTTTTCCTGCCCACCAACATTCCGTTTTCCGTTCTTGAGTTCGGAGTAGAGCAATTGCTTTGGGAGATGGTTGTTGGGCCGGTCCAGCGGAGTTGATGGCGGAGGACCATCACTTCAGTGCTGGTGGTCTTTGCTTCTTCCAGCACGCTGACGTTTGTCTGGCTGTCTTCCCAAGAGATTTTCAGGATTTTCCAGAGGCAGCGCTGATGGAATCGTTCCAGGAGTTGCATGTGACGTCTGTAGACAGTCCACGTCTCACAGGCATATAGCAGGGTTGGGAGGATAATAGCTTATAGACAAGCACCTTGGTATCCCTACGGATGTCCCGGTCCTCAAACACTCTCTGCTTCATTCGGAAAAATGCTGCGCTCGCAGAGCTCAGGCGGTGTTGTATTTCGGTGCACCAGTTGTTTTGTGCACCAGTACACTTTGGAAGATAGGCCTAAAATCCTTGGAAACTATCACTCCCATGATTCCATAGCATTGACCCCTGGCATTTAAAGCAGTGTCAAAGTGGGCAAACAAGTTTCCAAAATGCAGAGGTGAGGAAAGCTCATGTTGAGACAATCAGATGTTTTCTATCCATTTATGAAGAATCATATGGTTTGATAGCTGAAAGCCAGAGAAAAGAGCCATCTTGGGCAAGGTGGAGCAGCAGTATGAACAGAGCTTTTGGAAAAGTTACTTCTTTGCATGTCCAATTTTGGAAACTGAGAATCCTAATACAAAGTAATCATTGTCCCCACCTCTGCATCTGACACAATAGAAGGCAATGTGGAAGAGGCACTTGCGTCCCATCATCTCTTCCTTTTCCATTGAGGTTGGAGAGCTGGTTTTTGACTTGCCCACATCTTTGTTCTCCACGATGCCGCTGATGCCACTGCTGGCACCCCCCTTTCCGTCTTCCCCAGGAGATTTGGTTGCTGAACTCAGCAGGTGGCTGCAGGAGCGTCAACAAGGCACCTGTCAGCTATTTTGGCTGCTTTTTTTCTCTTTCTGTCTTCCTAATTATAAAATCGCGGATGGCAAGGGTGATAGGGGCTCTTTGTATGTGTGTGCATGCGCGCGCACACACACAAAATGTCAGATTGAAGAAATTAAAAATGTAAATGACGGAGCCTAATTAACCAGTTGACAGCAGAGCACAGCTGCCGGTGACAGTGACTGATTGCCTTCCGCAAATCCTGTCCTCCAAGGCCTGCCATATTTGGGGAGCGGAGGGGGGGTGAGGAGTGCAAAAGGAGGGGGCAACCCAAAATAGGAACTTTCTTAAAGAGGCAGTGCCTTGTGCAGGTAAACCTTTGTGCTAGGTAGGGATATAGGAATCTGCCTTACGCTGGGTCAGGCCATTGAATCATGTGGTTCAGTGTGCTACAATATACAAAAGCAGCATACTCTGCACCATGGATGGGAAGCACATGGTTACCTGTGGCCATGATCTATTTGTATGGTCCTCATGGCCCTGCCAGGCCCACCCCTCAAATCCATTGGGCTAAAGGCAAGTTGAGTCTCCCTTATCTGAAGTGCTTGGGACCAGAAGTGTTTCTGATTTCCAGTTTTTTCCAGTTGTAGAATACTTACATAATGAGATATCTTGGAGATGGGACCCAAGTATAAACACAAAATCCATTTGTGTTTCCTATATACCTTATTCACTTCCTGGAGATCATTTTATACACAATATTTAATAATAATCTATATAAATAAAAATGTGGGATTCTGTTTGTGGGATTAACAGAATTCAAAAACTACTAGACAAATTGCCGCCAAATTTGGCCACAAGACACCTACTAACACAAGGAGTGACCATCACTCAAAACAATTGATTTTGTCATTTGGGAGTTGTAGTTGCTGGGATTTATGGTTCACCTACAATCAAAGAGCATTTTGAATTCCTCCAATGATAGAATTGAACCAAACATGACACACAGGAGTCCCATGACCCAACAGAAAAAACTAGAAAAGTTTGGTGGCCATTGACCTTGAGTTTGGGAGTTGTAGTTCACCTACATCCAGAGAGCACTGTGGACTCAAACAATGATGGTTGTGGACCAAACTTGGCACAAATACTTAATATGACCAAATATGCACACAGATGGAGTTTGGAGAAAATAGACTTTGACATTTGGGAGTTGTAGTTACTGGGATTTATAGTTCACCTACAATCAAAGAGCATTCTGAACCCCACGAATGACAGAATCGGGGCAGACTTCCTACACAGAACCTCCATGACCAACAGAAAACACTCAAGGCCATCCAGTCCAACTCTCTTCACCAGGGCAAGAAAATGTAATCAAAGCCCTCCTGACAAAGATCCATCCAGCCATAGATATAGATAGATATATATGATTCACACACAGAGAGAGATAGAGTATCATAGATTTCATAGATTTGAAAGGGCAATATGTTGCATGTTCCAGAGTAGGCAAACCAGACAATCTCCACATCAACACTGACAAAGAAAAAGTAAGAAATACTGTTTACCCACAAGCATAAAGACATTACATATATTATTTTCCAGATCACCAGACTGGGCCACAGCAACGTGTGGCAGGGGACGGCTAATAATAATAATAATAATAATAATAATAATAATAATAATAATAATAGACTCTGGCACAAGCCAGTCAGGGTGGTCCCAGTGGTGATCGGCACACTGGGTGCAGTGTCTAAAGACCTTGGCCTGCACTTAAACACAATAGGTGCTGATAAGATTACCATCTGCCAGCTGCAAAAGGCCACCTTACTGCGATCTGCACACATTATTTGCCGATACATCAAACAGTCCTAGACACTTGGGAAGTGTCTGACTTATTTGCTGTGGATTCATCTTGTTGTGTATCAAATAATAATAGTAATAATAGTATAAATCATTGTTTTTAACCCACCCTTTCCCCCCAAAGGGACTTTGTGCATGAAAAAAACTGTGTGTCCACTGAACCATAGTGAATGAACCTGTGGACAGTTTTGGATATTGGAGTATTTCAAATTTTGAAATTCTGGATAAGGGATCATCGCCACTCTGAGTCGCCTTCAGGCTGATATGAGTGGGGTAGAAATAATGCAAATAAATAAATAAATAGATTTCCCCTGGAATCCCTCATAAGTGATTTCCCTTTAAGTTAAAGCATGTGTCATGAAAACTTTTTAAATATTGAAAAAGTCCTTTTATTCCATTTCCAGTGAGACAGAATATATCACAGAGCAAGACTGAAAAGAAGTAGACACACAGAGACTATATGGCTACATTGGATACACAAACAAAGGGGATATTGCATTTTACTCAGCAATTTTAGTCAGAAATTTACAAGACACAGTCCATCTTCGGCAAATCACATACTATCTGTCTCATGGGAAACCAGTGATGGCAAACTCCATCTGAAAAATCCTGCCCAGAATAATGTTAAATTGATTTACCATAGCATCACCATAAGTCAGCTCGACGTCACACAACAGCAACGGTTCACAATGCTGAATGCTGTCCCCCCAAAAGGTTCAGCACCTTGGATAGTTCTAGGTAAAACTCAGAGTAGATTTTATGCATTTCAGCACAATGCTCAACAGCCTCTCTCCTCCCCAACAGGTACTACTCAGACATTGGGAAGATGCCCGCTATCAGTGACCAGGACATGAATGCTTACTTGGCTGAGCAGTCCCGCATGCACATGAATGAATTCAACACAATGAGCTCGCTCTCTGAGATCTACTCCTACGTGGGCAAGTACAACGAAGAGGTGAGCATGGTTGGGTGGTTGGGTGAAGAAGACCAGAGCCTGGAAAAGTTACTTTGGGGGCTACAACCAGAAGTGTGAGTCTGCTTATGAAAGCAGACTTCTGCATTAAAGATGAGCATATTTACAAAGCCCACGAATATGAGTGTTATCCCTTTCTTACTCCAGATGCAATCCCTTCTCAGTCCTGGTTGCTTCTCTTTGCTTGCTTGTTTACAGGATGAGTGCTGTCATTTTCTCAGCAATTTCTTTTTCAGCTGCCAACATGTGTTAGATTGTACACATTCCTTCCCACATGCTTTAGCAATGGCTTTTATGCATTTTCCACTATGCTGATGTTTTTGTATCCATTTTGCCAATGTGCACAATTATGTGAGCATGTGTCCACAGATGCCCATGAGCATGAGAATTCTGATGTCCAAATTGCACCAAATTGCTCTGCCCAACCACCCACCCTCCAAAACATTATGTTCTTTTATTATGATAACAGTAAGACCCAGATATCTGCAAGGGATACATTACATTCCCACTGAAACATGTTTACCTGAAATCACAACTATAACCAAATACCTTTAAATTAGCTTTTTCCAGTCCCAGAGAAAGGGTAAAAAAAAAAACCCCAATGCCCCTGCTAGGGCATTTGAGGACTTTTAGAGGTAACAATGTATATTGGAAGGAAAATGATTTTTTTTCATTCCTGGGGACATCAAATTGGTTGGGTGGGTGCAATCATCCCCCAAGCCACAATTTACCCAATCTTTTACCACAGGATTTATTTATTTATCGTGTCATCCGCAACCAGAACATTGTATTACAATTCTAACAGAACAAAACAAACAAACAGATAAAAAAAACACACAAATTTTGTAAACTTGGTAGCTGATTAAATGTCCTTTGACCAGTATCTGGCCACTTGGAGTGCCTCTGGTGTTGCCGCAAGGAGGTCCTCCATCGTGCATGTGGCAGGGCTCAGGTTGCATTGCAGCAGGTGGTCAGTGGTTTGCTCTTCTGATCACAGATTCCCTTGAGTTGTTGACTGTGGCCTGTGGATTGCACTTTTGACACCTCTTCAGAAATATCTGTCAAGAGATAATAATAATAAGCAGTGCCTAAAGACCTTGGCCTGAACTTAAACACAATCGGTGTTGACAAGATTACCATTTGCCAACTGCAAAAGGCCACCTTACTGGGATCTGCATGCATTATTCGCCGATACATCACACAGTCCTAGACACTTGGGAAGTGTCCGACGTGTGATCCAATACAACAGCCAGCAGAGTGTCTGCTGTGGACTCATCTTCTTGTGTTTCAAATAATAATAATAATAATAATAATAATAATAATAATAATAATAATAATAATAACAGGCAAGGAAACACTGGGTGCCATGCCAAAAGATCTCAGCCAGCATTTGGAAACAATAACCATTGACAAAATCATGATCTGTCAACTGCAAAAGGCCACCTTACTTGGATCTGTGCACATCATTCGAAAATACATCACACAGTCCTAGACATGTAGGAAGTGTTCGACATGTGATTTTGTGATATGACATCCAGCATATATATTTGCGTGTGCAAGGGCGATACACCTCCCATAGCCGACCCAAGAAAAACACTCACACAAGGTTGTTGGGATAAACAATGGCCACAACTCATTTATTGATAACAGGCAGCCATTTATTTTATTTTATTTTATTTATTCAACTTGTATACCGCTACTCCCAATTTGGCTCGGAGTGGTTTACAGAAACAGATTAAAACAATACAATTAGCTTTAAAATGACCATAACAATAACAATAGGCAGCGAGAACAGGCATAGCCCGGGTTGTTCACCCATCAAAAGCTTGTCAGAAAAGAAAAGTTTTACAGACTTTCCGAAAAGCAAGTAGGGCTTGGATGGTTCGGATGGTTCATGCATGGGTCCTGGATCAGGATCGGGCAGCCCACTGCTGTCCGATAGCGCAAAACACGCCAGGGTGTTGCCGGCACAATACTGGGCCAACGTAAACTTGGCACCCCTGAGACCACCAGACATTCCCCCCTTCCACTAGGGGGATACCAAGCCAGATCCAGGGCCCATGCCCCATGCCAACAAGGAGTTGTGACAAGTAGCTCAAAAAACAAGCAACAGATAACAGGTAACTAGGACAAGCTAACAGAACAAAAGCTAACTGCAAACGGAAATGTCCACAGCATGCAGGGTGGGTGGGGTGGATCAGCTGATACAGGCACAGTGCCTGTGGGGAAGCTTGGGGCAGCCTTAAATAGGCTGTCCGAGAGGAGGGAGAGGCCAGCTCCGGCCTCCCCAGCAGCAAGGCATGGCCAGCTGGCCATTGACCGCTTGGCTGGATGGCGGGAATCTTTCCCGCCATCCAAGGGGGGCTTCTGGGAGGAAGAAGCCCCTCTGAGGCAATAATGGCGGCCAGGCATGTAGCCGGGGGGGGGAGGGCTTGAGGGGCTTCAGCCCCCCCCCCCCCGAAATTCTCATGGTGGTTCGCGAAAAGGCCTTACTGGTGCATTATTTAAACTGTTATGTTTATTCATATCATGATCTGATCACCATACTCAATATATCCCATATGCATGGGGGTATTGGGGTAACGATACAAAATGTTTGCTAGGGTAGACCCTCTTTCACTCAGACTCAGCCCTCCCACACAACAAACTCAGCCCCCCCCCCTCCCCGAATCAAAATTCTGGCTATGGGCCTGATGGCAGCGGAGGACGCCCCACACCGCAACTTCCCTGGCCCGGTCAGTCGGGCCATGCCTTATCTCATTTGCTGTGACTTACTATGTTTTTGTGTCAGTAAAATAACAACAACAACAACAACAACAACAACAACAAATTTATTTTTACTCTGCCACCATCTCCCTGAGTGGGCTCGTGTGACTAACACGAGACCAAGCCCAACAATTACAACAAAGCAAACTACAACAACAAATAATAACATCAAACAAAATGTAAACGAAACAAAACAATACAAGGTAAACACAGGATATGAAATTAGATAATAAAAAGTTGAGCACAGTAGGCTGGGCCAATTGTAAGGAATAAAATTATAAAAACCCTGGGTAAGATGGATGAGTAGGGCAGTGTATCTGGTGGGAGAGTTAGTCTTGGCTGATCTTCTGTTTCCAAGGTGAATTGATCTCTGCCTTGCCTGGCCTATCTAACCTGCAGCACAATGTCTTCTTGCTCCCTTCTTCCTATGCAGATCCTCGGGGCTCTCGATCAAGACGACCAAGCCGGGAAGCAGAAACTGGCCTACAAACTTGAACAAGTTATAACCCTCATGAGCATAGACAGCTGAGAACTGCCCTACCAGGGGACAAAACAAAACAAAAAACAAAACAAAACAAAACCAAGCCGTGCCTCAGTCAAGAACATCCTCTTTACCAAGTGCAAGTTTCTGATTGGCCGCCGAGCAGGGTCACCCGAACGGTTCGCGACCCCTCTGCCGCGTACCTGCCGAACCAATGGATGCCAAGCAACTCAAGGGACATCTCTGTGGAGGAATCCTAGAATTGTGGGTACCATTCAGGTGGACCCCCGCGCCCACAAGGTTCCCCCCTTTGCCTTCGCCCAGAGCATCCCTTTCATATCGTCCGTTAACCAGTCGAGGGAGCCGTTTGGGTTTGCCTCTGTCATGCTGCTTTAATGGCGCTCCTTGGGCACGGAGGCCCAGGGCGTACACAAACTCAGTGTTATGTGCAAGCTGCGCCAAGGCGGGACTTGCTCTCTTGCCTCCGGGAATCCCGACGGAGTGGGAATGAACTTGGCTCTTGTTTTTCCCACCCGAGCGTGCTGCTTCTCCCCCTGTCCTTGTCCCGAGAGGGGAGGACCCAACGGGACTCTCGTGGCGGGGGGACCCTTTGCTGCCAGCTGCTCTCCTGGCGCTGTGTGGAGAACAAAGAAAGCCTGCCCTTTCCCCCATCCTCAATCGTCATTCATCTCTAGCTTTGTTGGGTTTCTTTGGGTTTTTTAATGTTCATTTTTATCTTTCGTCTCTGTGCCTATCCAATGCGTAATTGAAAGAAAACCAGCTTTACACGCACACATCTTTCTTCTCTGAAAGCAGGCATGGGCTTGGAGGGGTCGGGGGAACATATGCTCTCATCATCAAACCTACAAAGAACAAAAAAAAATCACATTGTTGCCCCATAATACATCCCAAACTTTGTAGAGGATATGAAGGGCATAACACTCAACCATTTTAGGCCTAGAAGAGGGCCTAAAAACTTCTAGTATTTAGAAATGGCCATTCCAGGGCTTAAAATAGGCCAGAGAGGGCAAACATATGACAATAATGCCCCCACATGACATTTGAATGCTTTTGCAGCATAAACAATTTTAGTAAATTTCCCATTTTTAACATTATAGGAGGCAGTGGGCATAAAAAACAGCTATGGAGAACCACAAACAACCCATAGGTCACACTTTGCCAACACCCGAACTACAGACTTTGCTATTTCCAATTCTATTTTCTTTGGGTACGTTCAGAACAAGCAAGGGCATGTATTCCTTCTTAAGGTAGCAATCCAGTTGCGTTTTGGGAGGTGAGGCAACCTCCTAAATGTTGGTATGTTGGCTCTCCTGCCTCTTCCACCACTTTTCTAACATCACAACACTGAGCACAATATCTACATCAGAGCTCATCAAGATTGAGTGTAGTTGGAGTGTGGTGCACTAGAACCCCAACCAAACAATCTTTCATGGGCATCACTCTTTCTCCACTACTGTGGTCTCTGAATTTCAGTGGGAACTGGAGGTCCCATGGCATAGGGGGGCATCAGAGTGTCCTCCTGTCCCATAAAGTCATAGGGCATCTTGAAGTGAAGGAAGGAAGGAAGGAAGGAAGGAAGGAAGGAAGGAAGGAAGGAAGGAAGGAAGGAAGGAAGGAAGGAAGGAAGGAAGGAAGGAAGGCCAGAACGTGAAGAAGGATGTGGCATTTTTGGTGGCAATTGTAGCATTGTGAGTTGCAGTGGCAACTGATTTTGTGGTGTTTTGGAGATACGGAGCATTTCAAGGGCTTGCAGGCATGTGTAGGCTTCTCTTGAGCTAAATACTATAGAGCACAGACTAATCCCTTGAGAACCAACATAAAGAAAATGGGTCCCAACTGTGTGAGAAATGAAGCCAACGTTCCCAGAACTTAAACCAATAGGAAGGGGAGTTTACTGCTTGCAGTAATGGGCATGTGAAGTAGCTTATGGCACGTTTCCACTCCCCAAACCCATAAAAATGGCAGTTGCACCTGGAATACTTCAGTGGGTTCGTTTTCAACCAACTGGGCAGAATACAACCAGTGTAAAGCATATTGTTATTTTAACAGTGAATGAATTATGCTTTTCCAATGATGTCAAAAAGACTTTAGAGTATCTTGAAAGTATCACATTCCAGTTTGGAGGAAAAGGAAACTGAATGGCAAGCCATGCCTCTGCATGTCCCTTGTAAACCTCAGAACAAATCATACTCAAAGCGCATGCCTTTAAAGCTCCATGGACACAGCCACAAACTATAGTTGAAGTAGGCAAGAGTTAATATCCTTCGTCTTCACTGATATGCCTGTTTGGCTATGGCCCCATCCGCACTGCATTATACGCTTAATGTAGACTCGTATAATGCAGTGCAATAAAGTCTATCTAGCTCAAAATGCAGTGGAGCCCCCGGGGGCACAATGGGTTAAACCCTTTTGCTGGCAGGACTGAAGACCGACAGGGTGGAGGTTATAATCCGGGGAGATCACAGATGAGCTCCCTCTGTTAGCTCCAGCTCCCCAGGCAAGGACAGAAGAGAAACTTCCCACAAGGATGGTAAAACATCAAACATCCGGGTGGTATACAAATGAAGTTGCTGTTGTTGTTGTTGTTGGCCTTGTAGATTCAAAGCCTGGCTGGTTGATTCCTGGGAGATCCTTTGTTGGGAGGTGTTAGCTGGCCCTGATTGATTCTTGTCTGGAATTCCCCTGTTTTTTTGGAAGCCTCCCACAAGGATGGTAAAACATCAAAACATCTGGGAATCCCCTGGGCAATGTCTTTGCTGATGGGCAATTCTCTCACAATAGAAGCTACTTGCAGTTTTTCAAGTTGCTCCTGAGATCTATCTATCTATCTATCTATCTATCTATCTATCTATCTATCTATCTATCTATCTCAGGAGCGACTTGAAAAACTGCAAGTAGCTTCTAGTGTGAAACAATTGACCATCTGCAAGGACATTGCCCAGGGGGATATATATATACTATGTTTCCAACTGCATTATATGACAGTGTAGATGGGGTCTGCATGAATTGTGGAGTGGATTGAGTTGAGAACCGAGGTCTGTAGGACAACAAAATGGCCTTTTGAGCTGGTTCCGCCACATTATTTACAGTTTTAGAAGTGGTGGAAGGCTAGGAAGAGCCATGCAAACCAACACATCAAATCCAGATGCCCACACAGGAGAGACAAAGTTTGCCTTGAAGAATGAAAACATTTTTTAAAAAAATAAACATGGAAGAAACCAAAGGTTTTAATAAACGAAGTGCCGCAGGTGACGGAGACGAGAGACGATTTCATGTCATTCAGAGTTGTGTCCAGATGGATTGAAGAATTCCAGCGTTCATTCTTATTTTTTATTCAGATTTTACACTAGGTTACAGTAAACAGACCTGGGGAGCTGGTACAAAAAGTCTCAGAGCATCCCAGAAGCTGATGGAAAACAGATCAAAACATCTCCAAAATAGAATCAGAAGGAACAGGAACCAAATCTGGGGCTTCCTTGTTCTTTCAATCAGTCTGGACACATGCTTTCTGAAGATGTACCAACACTGTTGTAATAGTGCAGTTTGACTTGACTTTAATGGCCATGGCTCAATGGTATGGCATCATGGGAGTTGTAGTTTGTAAGGCACTTGGCAGAGAATGCCAACTATAGCTCCCATATTTCCCTAGCATTAAGTTATGGTAAGGAGCCTCCAGTGGCACAGTGGGTTAAAGCGCTGAGCTGCTGAGCTTGTTGATCGAAAGGTCGCAGGTTTGATTCCGGGGAGCGGCGTGAGCTTCCGCTGTCAGCCCTAGCTTCTGCCAACCTAGAAGTTTCGAAAACATGCAAATGTGAGTAGATCAATAGGTACCGCTCCGGCAGGAAGGTAACGGCGCTCCATGCAGTCATGCCGGCCACATGACCTTGGAGGTGTCTACGGACAACGCTGGCTCTTCGGCTTAGAAATGGAGATGAGCACCACACCCCAGAGTCAGACATGACTGGACTTAATGTCAGGGGACTACCTTTACCTTTACCTAAGTTATGGCAATTAAAGTGGTGTCAAATTGCATTCATTCAACACTGTAGACCAGGCATAGGCTAACTTTGACCCTCCAGGTGTTTTGGACTTCAACTCCCACCATTCCTAACAGCCTCAGGCCTCTTCCTCAGGCCTCTTCCTTCTTCCTTTTCAGAAAAGGAAGGGGCCCGAGGCTGTTAGGAATGGTGGGAGTTGAAGTCCAAACACCTGAAAGGCCAAAGTTGGCCCATGCCTGGTGTAGACCCTCAAATTCAGAAGAGCAACATGGAAAGCAAAGCTGGTGGGCAGATATGCCTGACAATGAAGGATTGTTTGCACACGGGGGAGCAGGGAAAGGGGTAGAGCAGGCAGAAACAATGGTATCAGAAAGAAAAACACATTTTTTTGCACAACTATGGAGAGGGACAGGAGGAAACGGAGACTCGGCATGCTTCTGGTTAAAGAGGTTTCAAACACTTCGGTGGTTTGGGCTTTTTTCCTTTATTTTTCTTTTTACTGGTACAGACTTGATCAACTGTTGGCTGTGATCCTGTTGGCCAATGTAACTATGTTGGAGGAGATGGCAGTGCGACGCTGGGGATGAAAGAGCCCTCTGCGTTGCGACGATGGGAAGAATGACAATTGATGTCTGGAGAGGAAGCTGTCCTGTTTACTCAGGAGCAAGCTGGGCCTCTTTGTTCAGTGGGAGAGACACTTTCTTGTCCATCTTCCTTCGCTGCCACTCTGCTCTGCTCCATAAAGTGCCTTATGCCGGCATAGCAGAACGTTACGCCGGCGTAGTGCACCTGGAGGATTCCAGCTTTAATTTCAAACTCAAAAACCTCAAAGCGGGGGAATGAAACATATCAAAACATATCAAAAGCAGAAATGGGAGGCAGTGGGAAAACTAAAGCATACCCCTTTCTCGACCCTATCTTTTTCCTCTTTCTCTCTGGAAGTTTTTAACAAATCTCCATTTGCATCCTGTTGACTTTGGTATCCCAAGTAGTAGTAATAATGTATTGTCGAAGGCTTTCATGGCTGGAATCACTAGGTTCTTTTGGGTTTTTTCGGGCTATAGGGCCATGTTCTAGAGGCATTTCTCCTGACGTTTCGCCTGCATCTATGGCAAGCATCCTCAGAGGTACTTTAGTGAGTGCTTGCGATAGATGCAGGCGAAACGTCAGGAGAAATGCCTCTAGAACATGGCCATATAGCCCGAAAAAACCCACAAGAACCTAGTCTCTTTCTTTAGTTTGGTTTGTGTTTTTATATATATATATATATACCTGATTTTTTTAAAATTTGGGAAATGTGCCACCATTGTGTTGTGAAAGTGTGAGCTCTTCTCTCCAATTTCATGAACGTCTTCTGTCTACAGTCTAGGCTTCAAATTCCCCTTTTTTCATTTCCTATTGTTGTGCTCATAAAGCAAAATGAACTGAGAATGTATTGTCCAAGGCTTTTATGGCCGGAATGACTGGGTTGTTGTAGGTTTTTAGGGCTGTATGGCCATGTTTTAGAAGCATTATCTCCTGACGTTTTGTCGTGTCAGGGTAACCAGTCAATTGTATTACATTTCTAACAGAACAAAACAAACAGACAGACAAAACACAAAATTTGCAAGCTTGGTAGTTGATTAAATGTCCTTTGACCAGTAGCTGGCCACTTGGAGTGCCTCTGGTGTTGATGCAAGAAGGTCCTCCATTGTGCATGTGGCAGGGCTCAGGTTGCATTGCAGCAGGTTGTCACTTTGTGGCCCCATTTCTGAAGGTTGGCTCTGCATCTCGTGGTGCCAGAGTGCAGTCTGTTCAGCGCCTTCCAAGTTGCCCAGTTTTCTGTGTGCCCAGGGAGGAGTCTCTCATTTGGTATCAGCCATTGATTGAGGTTCTGGGTTTGAGCCTGCCACTTTTGGACTCTCGCTTGCTGAGGTGTTCCAGCGAGTGTCTCTGTAGATCTTAGAAAACTATTTCTTGATTTAAGTCGTTGACGTGCTGGCTGATACCCAAACAGGGGATGAGCCGGAGATGTCACTGCCTTGGTCCTTTCACTATTGGCTGCTACTTCCCAGTGGATGACAGTGTAATTTCTCCAGTAGTGTAGGGCACAGACACCCTGTGATAATGTGGCATGTCTCATTAAGAGCCACATCCACTGTTTTAGCGTGGTGAGATGTGTTCCACACTGGGCATGCATACTCAGCAGCAGAGTAGCATAGCACAAGGGCAGATGTCTTCACTGTGTCTGGTTGTGATCCCCAGGTTGTGCCAGTCAGCTTTCGTATGATATTGTTTCTAGCACCCACTTTTTGCTTGATGTTCAGGCAGTGCTTCTTGTAGGTCAGAGTACGGTCCAGAGTGACTCCCAGGTATTTGGGTGTGCTGCAATGCTCCAGTGGGATTCCTTCCCAGGTGATCCTCAGAGCTCGGGATGCTTGTCTGTTCTTAAGGTGAAAAGCACATGTCTGTGTTTTATCTATGGTAGGCATCCTCAGAGGTTGTGAGGTCAAGCTCTGAGGTTGACCTTTGAGGTGGTCTGCCATAGATGCAGGCAAAATGTCAGGAGAGAATGCTTCTAGAACATGGCCAAACAGCCCAAAAAATCTACAGCAACCCAGAAAGAAGAAAATATAACTTATTCTGTTACAGGGCTAAGTATATATTATTATTGCTCAACTTAAAGATGATTACATACTCTGTGTGCAAAATTTGGGTTCCAGCTACAATAGATTCTCACTTATGCAACATGAACGAGCCGACAGAAAGTTGGATAAGTGAAAATATTGGATAATATGGAGGGATTAAGGAACAGCCTATTAAACGTCAAATTACATTATGGTTTTACAAATTAAGCACCAAAACATCATGTTTTACAACAAATTGACAAAAAAAGCAGTTCAGTACATGGTAATGTTATGTAGTAATTGCTGTATTTATGAACTGAGCACCAAAACATTGCAATGTATTGAAACAGCTGTGAATCTGGGCAGGAGGCAGACTGCGTTAGATAATATAGAACGCTGGATAAGAAAGACTCTACTGTGCAAGCTTTCTCCAACTTCCAAATTTGATGAGCATTGCTTTGATCCATGGAAATTCTGTTTCAGTTTTGAGTTTTCCCTGTTTCAGAAAAACAGTGTCCTGTGCCACCCTGAAAACACATACATGTATTTTGACATAGATTTTAAGGGGCTGAAGACAATTTAGATGCAGTTCCCATTTAAAAAAAAAATGGGAACAATAGCAGAATTGGAGAGATGCTAGCCATGCTTTGTGTTTGGTATTAGGACAACCTTGCAGTAGAAAGGCATCATTCTCTGACAAGCTGCTATTTGGTTTTAGGGCTGGCTGAAGACAGTTGTGCACCACCAGCTTTTGAAACATTGCAAAGATTCTGGGCTGCAGTTTTGACCTCCAAATGCTACCTTATTTTTGCCCCTAGAGATAGTGCCACCCAAAGCAACCAGCATTGTTTCTGGAGCTGTGGCTATCCTGCTTTGTGCGCACAAGTTGTAATGTACCCAACTTGGTATTGGCTTCAAAGCTTCTGAATCTGATGTTTGCAATTGCAACCAGTTCTGTGTAAT